GCCAAGACGATTCGGAGGCGAGTATAGGAGCAAATATCTCGAAATGAAGATCGCCCACAACGCCATAAACAGAACCTGAAGTTGGGCGAAGTGCTGTTAGGGCCTTTTTAAGGTTGAAAGTTCCTACATGTGCAAAATGGTGTGGTACTTGAACCTTAAACCCAGAGTCCATTTCAGGTCGATGGTGCATCCAAGTTCTACAAATGGACCTAGACATGCCACTAAACGAACTGTCGAGTCGTCGCTATCAGCAGCAACCATGAAAGACCTTGCTATCTGAATGGAGTTTAAAGGTTGCCGTCTTGACTTGGAGCAGGAATCCAGTATTAGCTTGACCCTTTAACCTCAGGCGTCACAAATGGCGACAAATGCCTCCAGTCCACACCCAACCCAGTTTAATGCGTGGAATTTGCATGGCAAAGTCTTCCTAGATCACTTCTGCGGCTCTGTGCAGCTATACTGTTCAGGCCTAACCCCAAGCTTTTCATAGGGTTCGGGGCTTGCCAGCAAGCGGCCAGCGAAACCGCGCACACAATCTGGCAAGGCCAGTTCGCCCAAGCCATCCTGGGTTGCTGGATGGCGGTTAGAGCTTAGTTCTTTGGAGGAGGCACAGGGTTGGTAGGTAGGTCTGGGGACTGAAGGCTTAGAGCACTGGGACTATAGGAGTAGCCCTGTGCAAGCCTCGAGATTTGGCCTTCTGGTAGAGCCAGACCTGCTGCCAAAGCTCGTGCCAGCGGCTGTTCCCAGAAGAAGGCTGAAGATGAGAATCAATGCCTGAAGTGCAGGCTGCAAGGTGTCGCTTATTGCGAAACATGTCTGCTTGTGGATTATAACCAATGGGCCATTCTCATCTTCTCGACGCACATCTATGACTTCAAATGCCGAATGCCAAGTACCATCTGGCTAGTGATTTGGAGGCCTATAGGGCATTTCCCTGCAGCAGTGCGGAACAGTTATAGGGTGGAACTGGCACAAGCTCCTCGAACCCTAACCCTCAGCCTGCAGACCGAAGGCATCCGCAAAGTTGCCCACAAAGGGTCCCAAGACCTCCACACTGTTGCAGGATCCAGGCACGGACCGAGGTCTCCAGCAATAGGGTTAGTACCATCAGTTCCCTTGCAAACATCTCCTGCATCTCATGCTGACCAAAGATACGTTCATGGCTAGGGTGTCTGGCTAAGCCGATCCAACCGAACCTGATCTAGCTGCAGGATGCCAAATAGTCCAACCTTCAAACGCATGGAAGACTAAGCGTTCCTAACCTTCTCAGACAACGTCTAAAACATCATACCCTAATGGCGGCTCAGCGGCCAAGCCAACAATTGTCGTGGCAATCACATTGATCTGAGCGAGCCTTTCACCTCGGCTTTGGCTGCAGCGTTATAGCACCATGCTTGCTGAACCTGCCTGCCTTTCAAAGCTGTCCCGGAACTTTAAGTGTTCCTGATGTTCCTTAAAGTTTGCACCTACCTAGCCGACGCCAGGACTCACAGGAGATCATGAAAAGTCCCGCTAGCTCACGGGTCCCGCTGTTTCTTCTTTCGGCAGCTAAGGTGCCATCGGACTTGTGGCCGAATAAGGCCTCAAGGACTGCTGCAGCACAACCCAGAAAAGACTCCCAATCAACTAGAACTTAAGTCATGCTCAAGCTATATCCTGGATTTTTTTGTGTACCAAGAAGATTCCACCAGTAATCCTTACAGAGACTCTTCTGAGCGCCTGCTTGATAGATAAAGCTCCGCAGGAAGACAAGGCAGCGATCAGACAAGCTGCGTAAAGATTTCCTGGTTCGCATGCAACACTCCCCAAACTAACAAAGCCACGCGATTACAGGTGCGCAAGCAAGCAAACACGAAGGTGTATGACTACCTGCGGCGCCCCTGCAGCCTTCTGAACCTGGGTGCACCCATTATCCAAGACAGTACTTTGATGAACCATACGGATCCCAATCCTTACGACTCAAGCCATCCAAGATTGTCCCTCACCCAAGAGTGCCCCTCAAATCTGGTTACACCACGCCTGGCCGTATGGATCAGCCAGGGACATATAGAACCTCAGCCGATGTGAAATTTTGGAGGAAAGGGGGGGTTGCGGGCTTCAACCTCGGTCCAACAATTAAAAAGACAACCTCCTGTCCCCAGACAATTTCACAACATTTGCACTGACAAAACCACCTGCATCACCTTAGTTACACCTGCATCACCTACGTCCTGAAATTCCCCAAAGCGTTCCCATCCTATAGTCCTGAATAATATCTCCATTAAACCGCCCCCCCCCCTCGAGTGTGAGCAAAACAGGGTCTATTTGGAAGCTCCTTCTCATGGTTATAATTAGATTTCCATATTGTTTTCCTTAATAAGAATTTAATACGGAGCTTCCAAATAGACCCATTGTTGCTTTGCACGTGACTAGAGCCGGTAATTAAAATAAATCAAAAATATTCTCGGGTCGGGATCCAGATTCTCGGGGCCGGGATCCACGGAG